CTGCAGCGTCCAGATGTTTGAGACCAACAGGATCAACGATGGATCTGCAGCCAAAGGTTCATCTACTAAACACTGACTGGAAGGAGAAGGACTATGTGGAAAATTCAGGTCCCAAAGTAGAACCTCAGTGCAACAAGAGTGAATCCAGCTGTGATCATGGACGGTAAATTGACCGATCGACCTCTGTGCTTGTGCAGCCCGGGTCCATACAGTCATCAAAGTTCAAAACAAAACCCCAACCAGTGCTCACAGGGCGTTACCCATCGATTACTGTTCCCTTAAATCTGGCACACCACTCAAATTGAGATTTCAGGCTTTTTTGTCAGCTGGTTCTGAGACATCCTGATCAGATTTCACCCTCAGAACAAGCCGTCCGACCACGGATGGAGGAACCAAACCAAAACTAACTTCATTTCCACCTGGCCCTGAACCATGAATACCAACTGGCAGAATGTCTGTTTTACATGACACAGCAGGTCAAATACATGTTCGGTGGCCACAGTGGAGCCACACAACCAGGTTTTAAAAGGCTGCTGTTGGTTTAGGAAACACTGAGTAGTGATAATCTCTGACCTGCTGGTGTGCTGTAAACCAGGCAGAACCTCTGTCATCTTCTGGATCAGGTCGGAACCAAATATGGAGCTTTCTGTTTGTTCGCGCCACATATCTGCACCGCAAGATGTTTTTTTAAAAATGTCCTTTTTATGTCGCTTTCTGTCGCTCTTCGTCTTTTTAAGTTTTGTATGAAGCACTTTGAGTTGCCTCGTTGGTAAAATGCACAAACACCGAACACGTATGAACTGTCTGCGGCTAGAGATGAGCTTCAGACCAACACAACTACATCAGAATCTGTCCAAATGTTTGCTGACGCTCTTTGTTTTTCCTGGAAAACTTGTGATAACGTCAAATGCGCCCCTTTGGGCCGTTCTCAGCCTGTTTTCCCCATAATTCATCTGGAGCCGTGGTTAAACCATGTGACGCTCGGAAATGCAGCAGAGAAAAACACCAGAGGCGCCCAGCTTCCAATTTAACCAGAACATGATAAATTCCTCTGAACGCTGCATCATGAGGCGACACCGGTCGGCTCCACTCGGGTGAATCCAGTGATGTTTCCTCAGACTGATGTTGAAGTTAAAGCCGGCGATCCTCTGGAGCCAAACAACAACAACAAAACAACGTTACAATAACGCCTCTCTTCGTTTGGCTTCAGGACTTCCAGCCATGCATGACCTTTTCATCAAAGTGGACATTTTATGTGGTTACCGCAAACTTGATTTTTAAAAAAAAAAAGAAAAAAAAGGCTTCTTGTTCCAAATAGTTTCAGATGTTTGAAGCTTCACCAAATTCACGACCAGCACAATGAGACTCTGTGTGAATGTGTTTGAGATAAAGGCTCCGGATTTCCTCGTTTCCCACAAAAAAAAACAATATTTAAGACCAAAAGCACAGTTTTTTTTTCCAGTCAGTGATTCATCTTGATATTTTTGAGATTGAAAATGGTCTTATTTCACGCATTAAACGTCCAAACATACACTCAGGTTGGTCGGTCTGATGTGTAGATTTCATTTAGAACTCATATCTTTAATGGTTTTTTTCAACATTAGTTTTTTTCTCCGTCTCGTCTGAGTCAGAAACCTCCTCTTCAGCAGCACCTACGTACTTTAAACCTTCCAGATTAATTCTTGTCTCTATTCTGAACATCTGGTGGGTTTGTTTTTATATTAGTCACAGTCTGATTTGAACATTTTCGCTCCTAAAAAATGACAAAAAAACGAATGTTTTCACTGTAAATCCTCTGAAACCAACATTCTTGTACAATGTTCACGTTTTTATTTCAGAAATTCATCCAAATTAGTAAGTTTTTAGAGTTTTATGACCTCGTTTGCATATTTAAAACACAAAATTGTCAGAAAACTTGTAATTGTCTTATTTTTTGTGTGTTTATATTGTTTAAAGAAACCTTTTGTCCTTATATTTTCTTTTCTTTTCTTTTTTTTTTTAACTGATATTTAACCTCTGTTTGTTAAATTCAGACTTCAGATTAATTAAATCCTACTTGACATGTTATTTGGGCAACACAAGCCAAATCTACTTTAAGCTCTAACTTCTGGCTGCATTTATAAGATAAAACAATAATAAACTAAATAAATAGGATCTGTTGGTCTCTATTAGTTTATAAACTAATTACCTCCAGTCTGAATCAACACTTTATTTAAAGCTATGTGACAACCATGTTGGTGTGTTTCTAAAACGTTTAAATAGTTTATCAGTGAAAAAAAAAAAATCTAATTTAGTGATTAAAAAATTCAGGTTTTTGACATTTTCTTTGCAGAAAAATGAGGAAAAACAATTGCTGAGAGAAAATTTGTTTCAGTCTAAAGCAGCTCAAAAGATGTTTGAATGGAAATAAATAAACTTTATACATGTAATAATGACATTTATAGATAAATATATAAACTATATATGTTTATATCAGATGTATAGATAAATATATAAACTATATACGTGTCATAATGACATTTATAGATAAATAAACTTTATTGATCTCCGTTGGGAAACTGTTGCACCAACTCATCACTAAACTGTTTTAAAACTATATAAATATGGACACACATGCATAAAACTACTGTTCAGGACAAGAAAGTAAAATATAATAAATGCAAATTAAAGCTGAGCAGCTGTGAGCCGACTTCTATCACACCTCAGTTATCGTTCTGCATTAAGTTCAGCAGCGATAAAATACCTTCCATTAAAACAGGACACACACACACACACACACACACACTCTGTTCGGCCTCTCTGGATTATTTCAGAAGCACTTGCTGCGTGCTGCCGTTCACACCAGGACGAGGTTTTATCTGAACTCTGACGCCTCCTCTGAGCCGCAGCCGACAGAACTGTGATCACACGGACCAGGATGAGCAGCAGAGAAAAAATCTGCAGGAAACAGAGGAACTAACGTCTCTTTAATTTAAAATAATCTGCACAATGTTAGTCTGTCTGCATAAAGAAGAATGAGAGCGAGTCCAGTGTCTGTCTACCGAGAGAATATGAAGGAATCTGTAATATCAGAGCTTCTCCATCCAGGAGAATCATCTTCTAATTTTACTTATTTTTATTTTTCTGACCCCTTTGCTGCTGTTAAACTGCACATCTGCTCACTGTGGCCTCCAGAAAGGCCCATTTTGTCTCATTTCTAAAATCTTCGGAAATTAGATTTCAAAAGCTGAAGACTGTAAAAAAACAACAACAAAACAAAAGTATATAGAAAGAATCAGAAATAATAAAAACTGTGGAACACTCTGATGTTCAAAAACTGTAAAACTGTAAGAATAATGTCAATTATCTGTAAAATAATAGGATTTTTATTTATTTATTTTTTAGCAGATGTAAATACAGCAAAACTGTAATTTTCTGGTCACACGTTTATATTTTATAGTTATTATAAAAATAAAACGTTATTTACAGTGTCGGCCTGGTTTTCTTCACAGTCAAAATGTAAATTAATTTAGTTTTTTTCTGTGATTTTACCAGTTATTAACTGTAATTTAACAAAAATAGAGACGATCAGTACAATAACAGTTAAAAATTACTATTTTTTAAATTATTATTCTATTTTAT